AAGTATAATACATGTCATAATATCATCCATATCTAAATACAACCATAACATAAGAACATCAATTCCAAAATGCTCCTCTATCCTAAAATCATTTGCTTATCTTGCCATCAGATGAATCATTCCCTATTTGAGACACAATTTGACATGGGGGAATGAGATTTGCAAGAAATCTCTGTAGCATATGAATTATAATTGTCATGTAAATCAAGCAAGTTTACATGTGACCTATTATCATACCTCAAGGCATAATCAACCACATAAAATCATACTTAATGCCATACTAAAAGAGGAACATCAATCACAATGACATGATTCAATGCATTTGGTTAAAGCATAAACCAATGTTATTCAACCAATCCATGCCACAACACAAGTTCCTTTATCTAAGCAACCAACAAATCACATCAAACAAGCAAGATTAACAATCAAATTATAATTCAAAGCTACCTTTTTAATACTTGTCCAATTGGTTACTCCAAGAACAAAGCTTCTTGTTGGTTCCTCCTCACAATGCCTATTAAACCAAGCATAAACATAGGCCACATTAATTCCTAAACAACTTAAACACAATTCTTAAACTTTAACTCAATAATTTCCCCCTTTTTCTTTGATTTTTAACCATATGATTCCTCCTTTAGAATCAATAACCTCATTGCTCAACCCTACACAATTTTTCATGAGGAATTCAATGGTGTAATCAGATTTTTAAAAATCTAACTCCTTCCCTATAAACAGTGACTAGTCGAATAGGGGGTATTTATTTCCAAAAATTTTATTTTTGATTCCAATGATTTTAAACACCTCCCAACAATATATCTCTACACAAAAACATGTTTTAAATCCATTGGAACCATCAAATTAATAAATAAAAAAATCTCTTGCCCCATGAACAGTACCAGGCTGAAATAGAGAACCAAAACCCTAGGTGCAATTTCTTCCAAAAACCAATCCATAAACCATTTTATCTTGCTTATTCTACTTGATTATTAGGGTTTCTATCCTTCCCTAAGCATCACATGGTTGGACCAAATTTTACAGCATTTTCTCATAATTTTTCCAAGCCAAAATCCTAATCCAATCAATGTAAAAATTAGGAATAGTGATGCTTAGACATACCTTAATGTTTCCTTGGTGTAAGTTGAATGATTCCTTATCCAAAACCCTTAAAATATTTGGCTAAATAGAGCTGGAGCTACAGTGACAGAGTCTCCCCTTGTTTTTCTGACTTTTCTAACATTTATTCGTATTTTTCCAAGGGATATTTATAGAAAAATTGGTCTGCCATTTTCCCCCTCAATGGGCTGAAATTTGGGACACCTCAAGGGTGTAGGTGGCAGCCATCAAATGCTGGAATGATCAGATTTAACCTTCTCTAGATTTTTCCACACAATTATCCCTTAATTTCACATTTATTTTAATAAAAATAGAGGGACCTAGAAAATGCTCAAAATTGGACCCTTATTGGGCTTAATGTGGGCCCCACAAATGATTTGGGCTAGTCTAAAAGGATGGCCCACAAACCAAATCCCTATTTCAAACGAATTTGAGACTTTATCGGTTATTATTCACTAGTAACCTTCCATAATTTTTCCAGACCTCCAAAAATTTATTTCTCTTGATGATAATTCACCTTTTAATATGAAAATATGATCTAAAAATTTTCAGAATTTTTTACCCACTATAGGTATTTATTTTGAATTTTCTTCGATTAGGCATTTATCGGTGTCACTACAGGAAAATAAATTTCCTAAAATTTATTCCTAAGCTTCCAAGGCCTAAAACTAATTTTATAAATTCAAATAAATATTTAGATGAATTATCCATCTTTCTTCCAAATTTATTGAGGCCTCCAACTATTTAATTTAATTATTTTTCTTTGATTTCCCAATACTTTCTTGAAAAACCTCTATTTACAGGAAATTTTGTAATAATTTGCTTTTACCGAAATTTTACCTTTCGGGCCTCAAACAAGTTTCCAAAACTTCCAATTTGTAATTTTCCTATTTTTCAGGAATTTTCTAGAATTTTTCTCAAATTTCCCGTTTTGCCCTTCTTAGACCGATCGTTACAAAAATGCCAGTCCAGACCTTATTGGGGTTTCATATAAAAAGTTGTTTCATCTCTCTACCTTGTTTGTACATTGACCCTCATCCTAATTTTGAATCCTTTATAGCCAGGTGAAAAATTTTGAGATGTGGCAATTCCTCCTCTCTTTAAATAAATTTTGTCCTTGAAATTTAAAAAAGCATACCTTAGTTAAACAATTATGGATATTTGGCCTTCATGTCGTCCTCCTTTTCCCACGTAGCCTCCTCTTGAGTTAGATCCCTCCAAATAACTTTGACCATCGAAATAGTCTTATTCCGCAGCTGCTTAATCTGCCGATCTATTACTTTTACCAGTTTTACCTCAAAGGTGAGGTTATCTTGCAGCTCTATGCCTTCATATTTCAAGATATGTGAGGGATCTGGCTGATACTTTTTCAACTGAGAAACATGGAAGATGTCATGAATCTAGCTCAGATTAGGGGGTAGGGCCAATCTGTAAGCTACTGGGCTAACTCTTGACAAGATTTGGAAGGGTCTGATGAACGTTGGCGTTAATTTATGGGCTTTGATCGATCTTACTACACCCGTAGTTGGAGAATCTTTTAGAAAAACATGATCTCCAACTTCAAACTCCAGAGGCCTTCTTCATACGTTAGCATAACTCTTCTGTCTACTTTGTGCCGTAAGCAACCTCTGTCGGATCATCTTTATTTGCTATGAAGTTTGCTCTACCAAGTCGGGACCAAATATCTTCCTTTCTCCCAATTCAATCCAACACAATGGGGATCTACATTTCCTCTTGTACAAAGCCTCATAAGGAGCTATTTGGAAACCGGAATGGCAACTGTTGTTATAGGCGAACTTTGTCAGTGGTAAGTACTCATCCCAGTTCCCTTTGAGATCTAGGACACAAGCTCTTAACATATCCTCTAATGTTTGAATTTTACGTTCTGTCTACCTGTCAGTTTGAGGATGATAAGATGTACTAAAACTTAGCTTAGTATCCATGGCTTTTTGTAATGCTCTCCAAAATCTAGAGAGAAATCTTGGGTCCCTATCAAAGACAATTGTCTCAGGTACTCTGTGCAACCTCACAATTTCACGGATGTATATCTGTGCCAACTTTTTTGGTTCATATTCTTTCTTGATGGCTAAGAAATGAGCTAACTTCGTCAGGCGATTTACAATCACCCACATTGCGTCATAACCTGACAATGTACGAGGTAGTCTTATGACAAAATCCATAGAAATGCTTTCCCATTTCCATTCTAGAATACTTAATGGTTGCAGGGATCCTGACGGCTTTTAGTGTTCTGTCTTTACTTTTTGAGAAGTGAGGCACTTTGACACGTAGCCCGTCACATCTTTCTTTATACTAGGCCACCAGAATGATTCTTTAAGATGTCGATACATCTTGGTCATGCTTAGATGTATGGTATATCGACTCTTGTGTGCCTCCTCTAAGATTTGCTTCTTAACTTCTGAACTTGGGGGAATGTAAGTCCTTTCTTTATATTTTAGGATCCCTTCTTGAGTTATCTCAAAGTTCCTTGTCTCATTTCTCAGTATTTTGGTTTTCAAAATATCGGCCAGTTGGTCTCTTTATTGGGCCTTCTTGATCTGTTCAATGATCTGTGCTTCTGCTTTTGTAATACCGATCTAGCCCGCCATGAGTCGTATCTAGCTGGTGAGATCCCAATCTTGGATATTCTCGATCAGCTCTTGTTCCTTTATCATCAATGATGCCACTTGCACTGTCTTCCGGGTTAATGCATCTGCTACTATATTTGCTTTCCCTGGATGATATTTATTTGATAGTCGTAATCCTTGAGCAATTCCATCCATCTTCTCTGTCTCATGTTGAGTTCTTTCTGGTCCTGCAGGTACTTGAGGCTCTTATGATCACAGTACAATTCGATGGTTGCCCCATATAGATAATGCCTCCAGATCTTCAAGGCATAGACAATCACTGCCAGCTCCCGTCATATATTTAATGCTGCCCAGATATGTTTCCAAGCGAGATAATTGTCTCTTCACCATAGCGGTATCTCTTTCATGTGTGGGATAGTTCTCCTTATGGGTCTTTAACTGTCATGAGGCATAAGCAACTACTCGACCTTGCTGCATCAGCACAGATCCCAATCCTTGCTTACTCGCATCTGTATATACCACATATAGCAACATAGGATTAGGGATTATCAACACGGGAGTCAAGGTCAACCTCTGTTTTAACTGCTGGAAGCTTGCGTCACACTTTGCATCCCAGTTAAACGGTTGATTCTTCTGGGTGAGCTTGGTTAGTGGTAGGGCAATCTGAGAAAAATCCCGTATAAACCTTCTATAGTATCTTGCTAGTCTCAGAAAGCTTCTCACCTTAGTTACCATCTTCGGCCGTTCCTAATTCAATACAACTTCTATCTTACTTGGGTCCACCACTACTCTGTCCTGGGTAATCACGTGACCCAAGAATTTTACCTTATTTTGCCAGAATTCACATTTGCTCAATTTGGCATACATTTGCTTTTCTTGCAACGTGCCTAACACAATCTGCATATGTTGCTCGTGTTCCTTTGGTGATTTAGAATATACCAGGATATCATCAATGAACACCACTACAAATTAATCCAAATATGGCCGGAAAATCCTATTCATGTAGTCCATGAATATAGCAGGTGCGTTCATTAAACCAAATGGCATCACCAGAAATTCATAATGCCCAAACCTCGTTCGAAAAGCAGTCTTTGGGATATCTTCTGCTTTAATCCTCAATTAGTGGTACCTTGATCTTAAGTTAATCTTCGAGAATACAGTGGCTCCCACCAACTGATCTGGAAAATCATCTATCCATGGCAACAGGTACTTATCCTTGATAGTCACTTTATTCAACTCACGGTAGTCAATACACAATCTCAGGCTACCGTCTTTCTTCTTCACAAATAACACTAGTGCACCCTACGGACAAACACTGGGGTGTATGAACCCTTTCTCCAATAGCTTCGTTAGTTGGTTTTTTAGTTCTACCATCTCATTCAGAGCCATCCAATACAGAGCCTTTGAAATTGCGTTTGTTCCAGGCACCAGGTCAATAGCAAATTCAATTTCCCTTTTAAGAGGTAATCTGCTAATCTCCGTCGAAAATACCTCAAGAAATTCCCAGACTACCAGGATATTCAAAATCCCTTCTTCCGTCTCTGCTTTCACTAAGAAGAATACCATATAACCTTGGCAACCCTGTCTCAACCATTTATCTGCTCGAGCTGCTAAAATCATGTTCAATTTCACTTCTGCTGTAGGGGTTAACTCCCGGGTAGGAAGGATCAGTGTTTTGCTTTTACAGTCAAGGAGAATATTTTGGGAGGATAACCAGTTCAAACCAAGGACAATATCAATATCACAAAAAGGCATGCATATTAGGTCTAACGTGGTATAACAGTGGGCATACTGGACAATACTGTTTAAACAAACAGCAAAAGTTAAAATTTTTATTCCCGTAGGAGAGGAAACATACAAATCATATGGCAATGCGTTGACAGCAAGACCTAAGAGCCTAGTGCAATCATATGATATGAACGAGTGGATAGTACCCGAGTCAAACAAAGCATCCACAAGATAACCATTCACAGTAAACGTACCTTGGATCATCTTGGGTGACTTACGAGCCTCTTCCCGACTGAGGGTGAATACCCTGCCCTATGCCTGAGGTCTTCCCATGCTGTCGGCACCTTGCAGGCACTCCCTAGCAAAGTGTCCGGGTCATCCGCACTTGAAGCACATGCTCTGACCTATCATGCCTGTCTCTATGATTATGGCCACAACGCTCGCATTCCCTTCCTTGGCGGACATTCTCTGCTCCCCAGTGAACATTCTCTATTGCTCCTCATCGGGCTCCCTGCCTTGATGTCCTGTTCTAGTTAAATCTCCTTCTCTTCTGGCTACCACCGAAAGAAGTACCTTCCTGACCTGCTCCCGTCCTTGGCCTTTTGGCTCATAGGGTTGCTCTAGCCAGCTCAGGATGATTCTGGCTATTCTCAATGATACGCTGACTTTTACTGCCTTATTAAAAACTTCTAGCTGTCTCAGGTCTACCTTCTCTCTCAACTCAGGCTTCATCCCCCTGATCATCTTCTTCGTGAACTATCATTCATCATTCATGTGTTGGAGATAGGTAGAGTACCTGGATAACTTGCCAAGTACTCGTCAAAAGGTTCGTTCGCTACTTGCCTTATAGTGAGGAACTTTGCTTCTTTCTCGTCCCTTATAGATTGAGGAAAATATTTCAGGAAAAACTGATCCTTAAACACCTCCTATGTAACAGGGGTTTTGTTGGCCTGAAGAACCAACTCGGTGTTCTTCCACCATCTATCTGTTTCCCCTTCTAGCTTGTATATTACCATCTAAGCCTTCCTCATAGATGAACATTCCAAAATAGCAAAGATCTTTTCTAGCCAAGTTATCCAATCCTCAGCTACTTGCATGTCAAAGGTTCCCTCGAAAGCAGAAGGGTTGTGTTTGCCAAACTTAACAATCCACTATTGCAGTGTATTAGGTTCTGTAATAGGTTAAGGTCTCACAGGAGCGGTTTCCTATGGTTGCTATGGTAGTATGGGCTGGGCTGTCCCGGCTGTTCCTTGCCCTGGTTGCTATAACCATGCTAGTGCTACTGCTACCGCTGTAGCTGTAGCAGCATCCCTCTCTTATTCTTACCTAGCTTTTGTGGCTTGTATCTTAGCCTTGGTTCTTTGCTATTCCTCTAACCTCTCCATTATCCTTTTCATCAGATAAATAGGGGGCCTTGATGATTCTCCTCTTGTACTAGCTCCCCTACCTCTTGATCCTCATCTTCCTCTTACAATTTTATCGTTTTTGTCTTAACTACAAGAGGAACATAATCATTAATTACGATAAACAATATTTATATTACTTTTCAGTTTATATGCAACGGCACAATTAACAAAATGTAGGGCCACAATCCGCCACCATTAGCATAGCATACAGTTATCCTGTATTGACAACCTAGTAGAGGAAGAGGGAAACAAAGTAACTACAAAAAGTTCTAAATCGTCTAGCAACTGATCAAAATCATTGGCATAGAGGATTTGTAAAGCGATCAAATCTGTGTTTACCAAACTCAGGTAGTAGGTAATGTCTCTAGTAACACACGGCACCATAGGGCATCATCTACATACTGACCCTCTTTGACTACTTCATTATGTAGTAATCTCAAGTAATAGAAGTAGTCCTGGTAGACTATAACGTACTGATTCAGGGTCGGATCTATGTGTCTACTGAGTTCAACAAATTCTTGGAAGAGACTATTATGATCTTTAAATACCTTCTTTACTAACAAAGGTCTTTTCTTGATTGGTAGATCCTTGGCCTTAATCTTCTCTGGCTTTACCATTCGGATAGGTAATGGGACCCGCCTCATCCGGATGTGGTCGGAGTCTTGTGGTGCTCTGAGCATCACCATTCTCTAACTTGACTAGGTCATTGGAGTCCTCTTCTGAATATGTATGCTCTATCTCCCAGAGAGGTTGGTAATATCAGGATGGTGGAGTCGGATCATCAAGGTCAGAAACATGTGGGTGGTACCAGTCTAGGTACGGTTCCCTCTGTATCTTTTAGTTTACCATTTCCCAGGAGTCACTGCTACAGCAGGCCATAACTCCTTGCACTCAACTCAATCTATAATATACCAATCCACCCCACATATAATCCCAACTAGAAGCATTCAATTAGACAACCACAATTCATGTTCAACAATAATAGTCAGAACAGTGCAACTACTAAACACTATCCACAATATCAATCATTATGCACAATACATAATAGTAAACAAAGTGCATAGAAACAAAGTCAGAACCTTTGCTCTGATACCAAAAAGTGTCACACCTCTCTTTATAACCCATTATACGTCAATTGGAACAACTATAACATGTTTCGTGGCGTTTCTGGATGAAAAATTTCGGTTTCAAAATTTCACCTTTAATTCTGTCCGTATATTGTTCATCCAAAAATGGGCCAACTTTGAAACTTCATAACTAATTCTAGAAAAATTGAAATGAGATGGTTCCAATTTTCACACGAAGCTTACTAAGATTTCTATGGAGGAAAAATATTCATTGGATTTAATTCCATCCAAAACAGCACCAGAAAAATCAACAAGATGCACTATTCATATTGTCAATTTTTGAATTTTTAGTATTTTTGCCCAACTTTGGAAGGGAATAACTCCTAGCAAAAAAACTCCAAATTTAATGGTTTACTACTTGATTTAAAGCTGAAAATGAGATCTATAAGCTTGTAAAATTTCATGCCCAAATTCCAACAATTGCTCATTATTTTATGTGCTACAAGTTTAGCACTATTTAGGGAATTTCTATCCCCTACTTGCCTCTTTCTTTAATTTATTTCCCCTTTTTCTTTTTTCACATTCTTTCCTTAATGTACCATGCATAATTCCAATATTAGGGCATGAGGGTAAGGTATAATGCATGTCATAACATCATCCATATCTAAATACAACCATAACATAACAGCATCAATTCCAAAATGCTCCTCGATCCCAAAATCATTTGCTTGCCCTTGCCTGTCACGCGGGCGACCCGGGTTCGATCCCCGGCAACGGCGCCACTTGAAAGAGAGCCTTTTCTTGTCGTTCGCTTAGAGGTTCTCGCTCAAAATTTATCCAAGCTATGCAGTATTGCAAACTCGGGTCGTTCTCTTTTGGGAGCCTAAATTAGATGTCTAAGTTAGATTAATGCTATGCAGAGTAATGAAAAAGGGGTTTTTGGTGTTTTTAGCCATTAATGGAATGCCAAAACTAAATGCAATGAATACTGATCTAAGTTACTATGTTTTTTGGATTTTTCTAAGATAGTGGTGATGAAGTGAAGTTAATGATATGTAATCTCTTGAATATAGCTTTGAAGCAATCATAGTTCAAAATAAGTATGGGAGTAGAAATCACCAAGTTTTCTAAATGAAAAACCTTAAAGAACTCTTTAAGTCTAGGATCTTAATCAATGGTACCCATTTCATAAGATCCTATTAAGCTCACTTAGTGTGTGTATCAAGATTAATTAATGCACTTGGTTAAATGCAAGCCCAGATCAACTCAACAATCTCACATTACCATGCAAGACAGAGGGTATCAAAAGAGTTGCATAAAAACATACATGTAACCACATGTATTGAAGCTCAAATTCAACACTAATAATCCAATACACAAGACAATCATCCAGAATTGATTACAACCATAATCAGAATAGTTCAGCCCAAATTTACAAATCCTAAGACCTAGAAATTCATAAACAAAGAACTAGAACTTATAGATGAAGCTAACTCCCCTTTGAAGCTTTGTGAACTCATGCTTCTTCCACCATATTCAAGAGTTGAGAAGCTTAGTTAGTCATAACTCTTGAATCAACTCCAACTAGGTATTGTTCTTCAGCCATGGCAGCAGCAGATGGGAGAAATGGAAAAGGGATTAGGGTTTCTGAGGTGGAAATGAGAGAAGAGGATGAAAGATACGTAGGTGGTGGCTGAATGGAATGGAGTGTTCCTTCAAAAATAGGGTTTCTAAGGGTTTAAAGGGTCCATATGGGTCGGATCATATGATTAGAGGCTCCATTTTCGCGTTCTGATCCAGATCTGGCGTTGCTGATACGAGTCTTTCACCGCGGCGAAGGTATACCTTCGCCGCGGCGAAGCATTCCCGAGCGGAGCTCCGCCTAATCTTGTGTGTTCGCCGCGGCGAAGTTGTAAGTTGGCCGCGGCGAACTCTGCCCGAGAGATCACTGGTGAGATTTCCATTTTGGCGCCGCGGCGAAGAATTCTCTTCGCCGCGGCGAAGTGTGTTAGTACTGATACTCTGATCTTGTGTTGTGTCATCCTTTAGTCTTTGATCTTAGCTCCAATTCTCAAGTGTCCTACAATAAAAAGCAACAATTTGAAGCATCAATTGTCCTAGAAATCAACTGAATACAATTAATAACCAATTATGACAATTTTACCCTCAAAAAGATACTAATTCAAAGTAAGGACTCTTAATCTAAATTAAGCACAATTATCATTAAAAGGAGCCAAAATCTATGATAAATACCCTTAAAATGATATGAAATAACATAGAATAATTGGGCTAAATCACTTGCCCTTGCCATCGGATGAATCATTCCCTATTTGAGACACAATTTGACATAGGGGGAATGAGATTTCCAAGAAATCTCAGTAGCATATGAATTATAATTGTCATGTATATCAAGCAAGTTCACATGTGACAAGTTATCATATCTCAAGGCGTAATCAACCACATAAAATCATACTTAATGTCATACTAAACGAGGAACATCAACACTTCCACAATGACATGATTCAATGCATTTGGCCAAAACATAAACCAATGTTATTCAACCAATCCATGCCACAACACAAATTCCTTTATCCAAGCAACCAACAAATCACATCAAACAAGCAAGATTAACGATCAAATTATAATTCAAAGCTACCTGTTTAATACTTGTCCAATTGGTTACTTCAAGAACAAAGCTTCCTCTTAGTTCCTCTTCATAATACCTATTAAACCAAGCATAAACATAGGCCACATTAATTCCTAAACAACTTAAATACAATTCTTAAACTTTAACTTAATAATTTTCCCCTTTTTCTTTGATTTTTAACCATATGATTCCTCCTTTAGAATCAATAACCTCATTGCTCAATCCTACATAATCTTTCATGAGGAATTCAATGGTGCAATCAGATTTTCAAAAATCTAACTCCTTCCCCATGAACAGTGATTGGCTGAATAGGGGGTATTTATTTCCAAAAATTCTATTTTTGATTCCAATGATTTTAAACACCTC